AACTTTGCTAATTAAAACTCATGTTTCACCAAGTTAGATTCTTCGAATTTTCCGTTAGAAGATTAAGTAATAGCAAGCGATTACAAAGGAGAATAACAAGACAATTGCAAATAACAACAAAAATAATATAGTAAAACTAATAGCAACGACACAAAGATCCACGGCGTAACATCAAGAAGTGTTCACCCTTAGGGCTTCAATAGGAAAAACCATGGGGAGCCCAATGATGGGGCCGGCGGCATGAGGAGAGGAAGTAGGGGATTGGGGAGGGTTTTAAAAGCTTCCAAATAAGTCTTTGTAAATTAGGAGGGGGAATAATAAGTCTAATCTAATTTAAATTTAAATTGGTTTATAATTAAACATTTTTCTTATTTAGAATTTGTAAATATGGAAAGTATTTGAAATTCAAATTTGAATTTCAAATAAATCCTAATCTTTCCTTGCTTGCTTGAGCTAATTTAGGAAACCATTAAGATGATTGACATCATCCTTACGGTGGGGAGCATGGAGGTGGTCCGGCGGCAAGAGGAAAGAGGGGGTGTTGGCGTTGGGTTGGGGTAGAGAGGGGAGCTAGGGATCGAAGGGGTTGAGTGATGGTGGAGAAGTGGTCGGTGGTTAGGGCCAAGGAAGCTTGCAGCCGGCGGTGGGAGGAGGTACAGGGGCCGACTGGTTGGGGAGGAAGAACAAGGAAAATAAATAAACCACTAGTCACGGACTCTTCCAATGACTGGTGGATATTGCACTCGCCCTCTCCACGGGCTCTCTTCTCTCTAGTGCACACACAAGATGAAGAAAACAAATATCAAATTTTCATTCAATCATTCATTAACCTTTTACAAAACACAAGACCGCTATATATAGGTCTCAAACACAAAGAAAAGAAAAAGGACTCAAATGCCCTTAGGGCTACAATACAAACTCACTACCCATAGGGGTAAAGTAGGAAAATGGAAATGCAAAAAAATAAATAAAATATAAAATACATCAAAAATAAGACTCTGAATCGTAGCCATTGATCTACGATTCCGTCGCTGGTACACATGTCAGAATCTCTGAACGATGTCCTCATCATTTAGCCTCGTTCGCATTTGGTTTAATAGGGAGAAGTTTTATTTTCTTTTTATTGAATTTGAATGCATGTGTTTTCTCGTCCATAGTGAATCACATCCCTTTCATAGAGCCGGGGTCTCCAATAGGATATAAGCTATATCTATGGGTAGGACATCTCACTAAATATGATTCTCATAATTAGTCATTTTAAACGGGATAAATCATCAAAATGTTTAAGTAAAGATGTATGGTTGACTCAAGTGACATAAAATAGTTCAGGCGAGGCTCATATTTTAGGATACTCCTAATGAGGACATTATAAAGATAACAGTAATTGTAGTTCCCACCATCAATAATAACTTAATATCTCTTCACATTACAGGCTTTTATCATTTGAAAAAATATTCATCACCTCCAATCTTTTGAATTTAACTTAGCTTTTAAAGGTATCTTATAAAAGTTTTGAGTGTATCATCTAAATTACAATAGTTTTAAAAAATAGGTTCAACCTCCAAAATTTTCTAATAATTAACAGGTTTGGGGGATTTAGTTTCTTTAAAATAGGATTTTTGCTATGAATTGGTTTGATGTGTAATTTTTTATGATATTTAAAGCAAATAATATCATTGACGCTTCTAAAGGTAAGTTTAAGGACAGTTTTAGGCTAGTGAGCACTAAATCTGGATGTGGATGCAATTGTTCTAGCACTAAATCTGGATGTGGCAGTGGAATGGTTTGAGTTCTTAGGCTTGATAGAGGGGATCACTTTCTTGTGTTTCTCAATCATCTAGGCAAAGTGGACAGTCTCTTCTTCAGTCCAAGGATCCTGTAATTCTGACTTTATTTTTAGTATCTTGTCAGAGCCTGAGGACAAACTTATTGGTAAGTTGTCAATGAGGATCGGCGCAGTTTGTCCTTATTAGTCATTCATAGGCATGTTTTCTTGACCTAGAATCAAAAGTAAATTATGTAGGTGCTTGTCATGAAATTTATGTAGTATTTGACTTTTAAGAGTTTTTTAATCTCAAGTTCATTGGGTTCTACTGTTCTTAAGTTCTTAATATAAAATATTGGTTCAGTCTATTTTTATATGCTATATAAGTTTCATCTTAATGAAATTGGTCCTCTGATAATCATAATGTTTACTTGTTAAAGAAATGCTCCATTTGAATCAGTTAGTCTAGAAATTTATTGAGATCATATATTACATAAAAAAAATGAGGGCATTAATTTTTATGTGTGCGAAGATCATCTGAAATTTTAAATTATTATTTATATTGATGTTATTGTATTGGGATTTTTCTGATTTTGTTATCCGTAGCCTCGCACTCATGTGGGATTTGGAGTCTAATAGTCAACTTTTATTGTTGATCCTAAAAAATTGAAATATATTTTGAAACACATTAAAATTTTCATTGATAACATTCAATTGTTTTGTGTGGTTTGATGGATGTTGTTAATATTATTTTGAAAATTCTAAAATTAGTTTATGATGCTAAATAAGATTTAGGAGGCATGATAATAGGTAGGATATAATACTTTTTAAAAGAAATGTATGCGAGATAGATCAAAGGAATAAGAAGATTAATTGTGTAATCTAAGTGAATTTGAGACTAAAAGAACTTCTGGGGGGAAGGGGGTACAAGGTCACATATATCTCAAGCTCTCCTTAGACAAGTTAGATTTTTTTTGACAAAATTTTAGTTTTCCTTGGGGACAATTTTACACACTATATCCTAAAGCACACAAAGAAATGAATGATATTTTTATTATTATTTTATGATGAGATTTTTTTTTTATATTTTATGACTTTTCTAAAGCAAATCATCTTTTGAAATTAGAATACATACGCGCAGTTTGTAATGTTCAAATGATGATCAATGAAATATAAGTTCTAATTGTCTTATCTTAATTCTGATTCAAGTTACTATTTTTATTGTTTGGAAAACGCCTTCTCTATTTAGGAATCTTAATTAGTTTTTTTTTTATTATAGTAGGTTCATATAAAATATTAGATTAAATCTTTTAGTGATGGTAACTACTTGGATGTCAATTAACTTGCTTTTTTATTTTTTTTTCTTGTGAATAAAATACTTGATCAGGAAATAAAAAGCTTTAGGAGAGCAATGCTAACCTTTTTTTGGAAAAAAAAAAGAATCTCTGATTGCAATGTACATCAAATCCTTGCTGTCTTGAAAAAAAAAAAATTCTGCCTTTAAAATATCAAAATTTTGTCGTAGAAATATTTGATTTATGTTATGATTTACTTGTGTCTTCAAGCTCATTGGTTTTGAATTCTTTAGCGCCCTTGGCTCTAATACCAATATGATTTCGGTCTTAAAGGGCTCTAATACCAATATGATTTCGGTCTTAAAGGATCTTTTTGGTGAATGCAACAACTTGATTAATAACCTCTTGGGATTGTAGTGGAAAGATTTATAAGCAAGGAAAGAAGGGGTATTAGGGTTTTGGTTAGATTTGGAGCTGGAAATTTTTAGCTTTGATAAGGTAAGTTTTCTTTGAAGGACAAAAGGTGGGGAAATACACATCAAATGTTTGGGATGTTAGGAAACTAATAGAGGTGTTTCTAGTTAAGGATCTGCAGATAAGGAGTTGTATTTTTTTAATCTTACTACTCACAAAAAAAAAAGAAAAAAATCTCTCATTGAATTGGGCTTTAGTATATTAAGGCTAATTGGGAGTCAAGACTTTGACAATTTATAGGCGTTGTGTGAGAATGTAGAGATGTTTGGAGGTTGTTCTTGTTGAGCTTGTTGGTGTGGTAGTTTTGTTGGGGAGGAGAGTAGCAGATGGAATGAGTAAAATAAGAACTCAACAAAGCTCTGAAGGTTCAACCACCAAACTTCACCAAGCTTTTTTTACATAATATTTGCATAAGTAAAAAATAATTTTATTCAATGAATTTCTCTGTGGTAGTTATAGAGCATGTGGCATTTATAGTCCTTTTCAAGCCTATGATGCCTAAATCTTATTTAGAAAGCCCTTGGAGTCAATAAAACATTACCACTTGGATTAATGATATGTCATAAAACTAAGAGAACAAAAATGACAACGAAAATTATAATAAAAATGCTTCCATAGGAAGAAAATTTTGGCCAAACCAAAACAGGATGGTGTAGTTGCCTTGATCATGCGATTTTCAAATATATTTTCTTCCTTGCTTGGTGTAGTCGATCCAGGGACTTGATTTTAAGCTTTCCAGATTTCCCTATTGAGTTAGGAGAAGTAATTAGGCCTACTATGTTATAAAAATCAATATCTAAGTTGAAATTAATAATGGAATGATTAGACTAAAAAGAAATCTTAACACTTGATGTTATATGAAGTAATGAATGAAGAATGAAAATTTATTAAATTGATTCCTTTCATTAGTGGGTAAACCCCATTGATGATTATAATGATGATACTTGTTTCTTTTCTAAGCCAATCTGAACGCATTTGCTTATATAAGCTGTGTACTTTGTGAACTATTTGCATTCAAATTTCTGTTTTATTTATGTCTGTTTGGTTGGCTAAAAAATAAATATAATGTATTTAAAACATGTAAAATGAATACAATGTAAAGTTCGAAGATGATGGTGATTGATGTCTGAGCGGTGGTGTCCGGCATTGGTTGTTGGTGGCGAGTAGCGGTGGTGGTTGGAGGCGGCGAGCTGTGGACACTGGTGGCGGTGGGCTGATGTCGGTGACCGGGTAGCTTGCTTGCATTAGAAATGGAATTTGGTTAAAGTTCGGTCGAGTTCATATTTCATAATACATGTTAACTCAGCAATGAAAGAGATTTTATGCTGCATTCATTTTTCATCCAATTAAACATCAAAGTTTTGAAAACCTTATATTTAAAATATTTTACTCCCATTTTACGTTAAACCAAATAGCTCCTTAATGTTTTTATGTGCTAACGTTCGACAAATCTTCTGTAATTGCAGAATGGTGCAAGCCATGCTATATTATCCGATCGTTTTTTGCATGAGATTGCATTTAGGCTGTGGAAGGCACCCAAGTATGGAGCTTGAACTGGAAGAATTTTCTATAGTATAGTAAGAAGATTTTAGTTATTTTGAGTGATCGGTGCTTACTTAAAATAACCAAATTGTATGGATTTTAATGAAAAAAACTTGTATTGGAATATATTTATACATTTTGTATTACAATGATTAGACTCATTGGCTCATGTTAATTTCAATTGATGAACTAATATTTTGAATTCGTTTTGATTCACTCAATCGATTAAGTTTTTATTTGGGATAACTTTTTAATGTTTTCTAAAATTTCTCGTACAAAAAATTTTAATTCAAAAATTGTTTTAAAAAATATTAAAAAAATTATCTCAAAGAAAGCATAAATATTTGTCTTGATCTCTCTCACTCACTCTCTCTAAAGCATTAAAATTAAAAAATAAATCTTATTCAATGAAATAGGGAAAAAGTTTCAAATAATCCCCTAATTATTCATATCAATAGATTTAATTTTGAAGCGCAATGTTTCCTCAATTTAGTTATTTATATAAAAATATTTCCAAATGATCTTTCAATGACTAAATTGTGATTAGTTTTATGTAGTTGAGGGATTAAATTGGGATTAATTTGTATAATTGAGAGATTAAATTAAAAAATATGATATTTTGAGTTAAAATTATCACATTTGAATCTTAGGGAATTTTTATACTTTTCTCTAATAAAATATGATATTGAAAATTTAAATGTGAAGTATTTATTCTGAATTTTAATCATTGAATATTATAAATGGAATGTATATGATGTGGTAAGAACTCTTATTATTATTATTATTATTATTACTATTATTATTATGAGGATGATAGTAGTATCTTGTCATTATCTTAATCATCTTTAAATCTTAATATTGAAATCCATATCATATCAGCAATAGTGCATGTATGTATGTGTAAGCAATCATAATAAACAAATCAGTTGTTTTTGGCTTGTGTGATATTTTTTTAATAATCATACATGTATCATATTCATTTTAATATCTTAAAATTTAATTTAATATTCAGGTGGCTTTCATGAAGAGTCAGCAGTCTTACCTATCGACATCTTAAACTCCTTATAACTCTCAATCTTGATCGAGGATACCACCACAAACTTTATTTTAAGGAAAGCTCGTCTGTCCACCATCCTGTACATGATAGGATCAATCTCTAGCCAACCTCATTTAATAGCTAATAAATATGTAAAATTTTTTGGCATAAAATTCTACAAGAAATTTTGTCAATTCATGATTTTTTTGATGGATTCGAGTTCATCGGTTAAAGTACCAATTTTCTATTTATAATCCGCCGGAAATCCTTCAAAACTATTTTTGTCAGAAATAATTCTGTCAGAAATCATTTTCCTACGCTCATTTTACCAGCGGAATCAATTCTATCATAAATCCACTTGAAATTACATTTTTCGATTGACATTATAATTTTTGGTAGAAATTCGAGAATTTCTGACATATTATTTCACCGGTAATTGATCATTTTCCTATAGTGACGGCAAATCACATGATTTATGCTATTGCAAGTAACGAGCAACTACACTATTATTATTAATTTAGTTAATAATGTGCTCCACATAGTATTCGAACTTGATTCGAGATATTAATACTCGAACGATGATAGTCTAGCTAATCGATATTCGCCGAACAACATCATTTCTCCTCCATAACTTATGTATTTAATCTTGTAGTTGTGTATGAGTCCAATATCCTTATATATAATAACCAAAGTGTCTCCAATCTATTGCAATTATTATTATTATTATTTTGTTCTATCATAGTGGTTTGCTCATCAAGTGGTCATAAAAAAATATATTATTCTTCAATTTATATCTCAAAATTAATTTTTTATTAAATAATTATAATTTAAAAATATTTACTATATATTCTCAAATATATTTCTATGCTCATAATTATGATTACTTCTCAAAAAATTTTAAAAATACTATAAAATCTAAAATTTAAAAATCTTAATTTTACATATTTATTAGTCATTAACTATATAAATATTTTGAATTTTCTATTATATAAATTATATAAATATTAAATTAAAAAGTTGGCCTGTGGGGCCAGTGGGCACGACCACCCAAAAAAAAAGTATTTTGTGCTGGTACAGGTCCGGAGACCAACCAGAACGCGTCACATCATTTTTTTGCTCGGTATCGATGCTCGGCACTGCTAAATACTGAGTGATGTTACTATTCTAATTGGTCTCCGAAACTGTCAGGTGTTCGCACAGAATAATTCCTCACCCCAAAGTGCCCATGCACTGATGGGGCTAGTTACATTCAACTAAGACTAGCTCCCTTTTTTCAATTTATTTTACTATAATTTATTTGTTTTTGAAAATTCGGCCTAATTTCTTTTAAGTTGCTAAGTAGTTTTATTATTACAAGTCTGCCACTACGTCAAATTCAACGCAAAGTCTCTTCAAAGTTCGAACAGAATAATGTAAAACAGAAGACCAAAGTGGTCCATTCGATTTTTGGTTTAAAGAAGATTTTTTTCAGCATGCTCTATTCGAGACTGGTAGGAGAAGAACCGACTCGGTATTGTAAAAAAAAAAAGAGTGGAAGCAGAACCAAGTCAAGATGAAAGAACTTTTGCTTGTTATATACGTCGGTTTGATTCTTTTTTATTTTATGTTAATATTTTTTAATGTGATTTTTAAATAAAAAAATAACTAAGTTTAGACTTTAATAATGTTTATTTATAATAAATATTTATATCACAACGAAATTTGTTCTATTTTAAATAAGCCAATTCAAACAATTTCGTAAGATTATTTGTGGGCAAAAGATGAAAGTGATTCATTCAATAGACTTTGAGAGAAAAAAATTATGTTGGGAAAAGATGACGACAACAATACCATCAAAATTTTGCCCCACTACATGGAATCAACCACAATCATTTTTCTTCATCATGTCATACTAATCCATCTTTATTGACATATGCCGGATCTATTAAATCTACTCTCCTAATCGGGTCATCGAAAGGTCGACGTACTACAGGAAATTCATCTCATAACAACGGATTTTCCGGCAAAAAGTTCACCGGTAATTAGTGAACCCGATGAAATTTTTTATGTATTTTTTTTCGGAAATGTTATTTAATTTTGGACAGAAAAATTCATAAAAAATTCCGTCGAAAAGGCCCTATCTTGATCCGAGCCCCCCTCCCCTCTCTAATTTCATGTTTTTCTCTCCTGAACACAGCTTGTCGCATGTCGCCTGTTGCCGTCTAAGGTGAAATGTAGACCATTTAGCTCCGTTTCTTCAATATATGATAGGTAAAACTTAATCTCTATAATTATTTTTTTTAAGACTTTACCCATTAGATTTTGTTTTTTGTTTTTTAGTTTTTTTGCCCGTTAGATTTTGTTAAAAATATGTTTTAGTTATAATCAGGGTTACACATAAATTATCTTTAGCATTCATCATTTTGTAAGAGAAAGTATTACTTGCAAAACCGTTCTTATTTAGGGTATGTTCATGCCTTAACATTTAATATTATGGATTAGATCAAGGATCAGCCTTAAGTCCATATCTTTTTGCTTTAGTCATGGATGTTCTCACTAGACATTTGCGAGAGGATGTACTTTAGTGTATGCTTTTTGCTGATGATATTCTTCTTGTTGATATGACTAGAGAGAGCGTTGAAGGTAAACATGAATTATGGAGGACAACCTTAGAGTCTAAAGGTTTTCGCTTGAGTAGATCTAAAATTGAATATATGGAGTGTAATTTTAGTATCAATAAACCTAGTGAGGGGATTGTAACTTTGGGCGATCAAGTCATTAAAAAGAGTACATGTTTTAGATATCTTGGATTTATTGTTTAGAATGATGGTGAAATAGATAGGAATATTATTAGCAGCATTCAAGTTGGATAGTTGAAGTGGAGGAATGCATCGGGCTTGTTGTGTGATAGAAAAGTCCCCTTCAAACTTAAGGAAAAATTCTATAAGATGGTGGTGAGAGACCTGCAATGCTTTATGGTGTCGAATGTTGGCCATTAAAAGAAAAGCATAATACTAATTTAAGTGTTGCAGATATGAGGATGCTTAGGTGGATGAGTGGCTTTACCCTTAGAGATAGGATATGAAATGAGCATATACATGAAAAGGTTGGAGTTATATATATATATATGCATCACCAAAAATTCATCTTGATCAGGCTTGAATCTTGATGCAAATATGTGGTTCGGGCTTCAAAAATTAAATTCGGGACTATCCAAAATTTGATTTTAATAAACTTATAATCAAATTGAACATTTCAAAGAGACGAGACCAGCGATACAAAAATCGGTCCAATTCGAACCCAATTGGGCTCAAATCAAAGGATCAAAGCATTTTTTAAAGCTTCAGAGCATTAAAGAACCAAGTTTTTACCAGAGATTGATGGTCTTACTACTCCTACAAGACAATGTTTAGTGGAAGATAGGAACTTGCAACGAAGGATCGTGCCTTTACAAAAAATTGATGGTCTTGCGACTCTTTTAGAACAATTTTCATAGGAAGATAGGAACCTGCAACTGAGGACTGGGCCTTTACCGGAGATTGACGGTCTTGCAACTCCTACAGGACAATCTTAAGAGAAAGATAGGAACCTGCAACATAGAATCAAGCATTTACCAGAGATTGACGGTCTTGCGACTCATGTAGAACAATATTTAGGGGAAGATAGGAACCTACAACGAAGGACCAAACTTTTATCGGAGATTGATGGTCTTGCATCACCTACAAGACATTCCTCATAAGAAGATAGGGATCTACGATGAAGGATCGGGTCTTTACCAAATTTTTATGGTCTCGAGAATCTTTTAGGATGGTCTTAAAATAAAGACTGGAGCCCACAACAGAGGATTGATGACGGGGGGTTACTATGGAGTGTAATTTTGAATTATAAAAATATTTACGGCTTTATCTCCCCTAAATAATTCTTAGGGTTCTTTTTATATATATAAAAACAGTAAATCCCACTAACTATATATAAATATACATACTGAATCAAGCAATAAAGTGATAGAGTAGAATATTCAACCCAAGATAAAGTATGCTTTTCAACAATCAATTATTTTTGTTTACTCTAATTGCAAAATTATCCTATTGAAATAAAATTGTTGATTTTAGAGATTCAATCACTAAATAAAAATAAATAAAATAGTGGATATAATATTTAAATAAAGTATTTTGAAC